GGATCACTTAGTATCAAACTCCGACTAAAAATGCATTGATTTTTTATCCTGTCTTTGTGATTGGGCGAACGACAGCACTGATGTTATACGGAGGAAGATATAGATGGTCTTGTTGTTTACGTGTGATAATAATGAATGAAGGAATTAATTAATCATATTTGATTTGACAAGATTGTCTCACATTTTTTTCTCTGAGAGGTCTGTCCCACTGCTCCGACCCCCACCCTAAATCCATATATTGATCTTCCTTCCATGGGGAAGTTTCAGTGATTCTATGACCTACATTGCATCTTCATCCTTCGATCGGGAAGTTATGCTGTGCGGCGATTAAAAAACAGTTAAAAAACGGCGTGACCGGTTAAATAAGTGATTGGTTAAAATTTTGACTGGTAATGTTATATCATTTAACCGGAAATATTATCAAGTACAATAACATATTAGGTAGCGCTTATATAATGTAATAGGTAGCGCTTATATAATAAAATAGGCATTTAACCGGAAATATTATCAAATACAATAACATATTAGGTAGTTCTTATATAATGTAATAGGTAGCGTTTATATTGACCTATTTTCGAAGTAAACCGGTATATTTATACCGATAACATTGTAAATTTACCTATTATATTATTATTATCGGTTTCAATATTTTTTAGATCGATACAATTTTAAATGTATCGACACTTTATGCTTGCACCTCGTTGGACATTCATATTTCATTCTGGAAAAAAGTATCGACACAAACTAAAAAAGTGTCGATACATTATTTAGACTTATTTTCTCATAAAACCGATAAATTTATATCGGGTACATTGTAAATTTACCTATCACATTGTAATTTTCGTTTCGATGTTTTTGAGATCGATACTTTTAATAATTGTATTGACACTCTATGTGTGCACCCCGTTTGACATATATTATGGACAAAATGTATCGACACAAATTTAACAAGTGTCGATACTTTATGTTGACCTATTTTCTCATAAAATCGGTATATTTATATCGGTTACATTGTAAATTTACATATTACATTAAAATTATCGTTTTCGATGTTTTTAGGATCGATACTTTTAATAAATGTATCGACACTTTATGCATGCACCTCGTTTGAGCATTCATTCTAGACAATAAGTATCGACACAAATTCCACAAGTGTCGATACATTATATTGACTTGTTTTCTAATTAACCGGAATATTTATACCAGTTACATTGTTAATTTACTTATTACATTATAATTATTGGTTTTGATGTTTTTTGGGTCGATACATGTAGAAAATGTATCGACACATATTTAGGTAGTTATTGTACATACCTAAATATGTACTGCGAATTTAATATTGTACCTACCATTTAACTACCACTACCAATACCACATCCTATTGAAAGCAGCACGACTGAAACATGTTCAATGAACTTTTGCTTAAATCTCCATCAACTCCGGGACCACTGAACTTGCACAACAAAATTTTTGCCATGAATCATACTGATGCAGACAATGTTAAGCTAATCGAGGAATGCCTTGAAGTACATAATGTTGATGAATCTGACAGATTGGTTGGTCAGCTCTTCTGTTCACGTGATCAAGCTTGGTACTTTTACAAGGGATTCGCACGGGAATATGGGTTTAGTGCACGTAAGGGAACAATAAGGCTTGTCGTGGAAGGGAATGTGAAGACACAAGAATTTTGTTATTCCAAAGAAGGGTTTCGAGTATCAAAAGTCAATATTGTTGATCGTCAACGTGTTCATACGTCAGTCACAAGAACAGGATGTAAGGCTAGAGTCGTAGTTACAACAACAAATACAAACGATCAGTGGGTTATACGTAAGTCTTATCAGAAACATAATCATGCATTGTGCACACTTGCTATGACACCATTTATGCGTTCTAATAGAGCTGTAAGTAAGGCTGATATCGATGAGGCAACAACATTGAAAGAGGTCGGTGTTGGCACGTCACAAGTAATGAACTATTTAAAGTAGCAGACAGGGGGCTATCATAATGTTGGATTTACACATAAAGACCTCTACAATGCACTTCAAATAGGTAAAGCAAAGGAAATCGTAGATGGGGATGTGAATGCGCTTATTGCCTACTTTGATTATAAGAAACATGATGATCCCGGGTTTTTTATGACATACTAGATAGACGAATCAGGGGCATTGCATAATCTTATTTGGTCGGATTCTACATAGAGATCGGATTACATATGCTTCGGTGATGTAATTGCATTCGACACAACGTACAAAGATAATTTGTATGGTCGACCAATTATGCCTATTATCGATGTCAATCATCACCATAACACAATTGTGTTTGCCACTGCCATAATCGCTTACGAGACGTCTCAATCTTTCGAGTGGGTGCTACAGAATTTTTTAGAAGTCGTGATGAATAAATCAACTATTTCAGTTGTCACCGATGGGGATAGGGCAATGCAGAGGGATATCAAATCTATTATCCCTTATGCTAAGCACAGATTACGTTCTTGGCATCTTTCTCACAATGCACAAGCTAACATTGGTGACCCAAAATTTACAGCAACATTCTCAAAATGCATGGCTTCCTGGTGGACAACCGAGGAATTTGATATTCAATGGCGTTCGGTTGTTTCAGAATTCAACGTCGAAAAGCATCTATGGGTGATTGAGAAGGGAAATACATGACACTTATGGGAACAAGCATATCTAACCGGTCATTTATTTGTCAATATTCTCTCAACACAAAGGTGCGAGTCTATGAATGCTTCACTAGCGATTGCACTGAAACACAAGAAGATATATTTTGATGTTGTTCGTGCACTTGAAGATGGAATTAGTAGAATGTGTATGAACGAGTTGAAAACGGATTACTTAAGTTCCCATACAAAGCCCTTCCAGATCACAAAACTAGTTGACCTTGAAAGCCATGCTGCTGAGATTTTTACCCGCGAATCTTTTCGTGCGTTCCAAGATGAACTTCTACGGGAGACATTGTACCGGATTAAGAAAGAGATTCATTCCTTATCAGATGAATGTCAACATTATATTTTGTCAAAGTACAAAGAAAAAAATAAGACATTTGAAATTAGTTTTGATTATCGTACGAAAACCCTAATTTGCTCCTGTAAAAAACTCGAGACTGTTGGACTTATGTGTCGCCATCAACTTCACATTTTGAAGCACTTGGATTACACATATTTGCCAGGGAGTTTGATTTAAAGTAGGTGGACTAAGGATGCGAAGGATTCTGCACCCACTTATGTTGACTTGAATGTGTCTCCAGAAGTGATGCAAATGGCAAGGTTCGCTGCTCTACGTTCAACGTCAAGTAGGTTATGCTACATTGCATCAAAGACAGACGCGTCTTTCAAAACCGCAAGAGATGAGATGAAAAGACTAATAGAAGAATTAGAAAACTCGTTTGGTTTGAATGATTCAGTCAACCAGAGCATTGTAGTAAACAACGTTCGTGACCCTCAACGAAAACAACGCAAGCGAAAAGAAGTACCGAAGAACAAGGTTGAGAAGAAAATTAGGCAATGTGGGTACTGCAACGGTGAGGGGCATAAAAAACTAACATGTCCTCAAGTCAATCTCATTTTGAATACAAGCACACAACCTACATCAACTGATTTTTTCGAAGACGGAATGGAATGGACATTCAGTTCCGCACGTGATGACAACGATCTCCATATATCGTAAGTAGCAACATGACTCCTATTGTGTATAAGAAACATGTACAACAACCAATTGCTAACTTTTCTCATCTCATACATAAATACATCATATACAAAATTATAAATCGTATGTAACTTATACAAAATTAACCCTACATTAACAAAATTTACTCTTTTAGTCTATTTTGATTGTGGCTTATGAGACCGTTTAATATTTCATCCGCATCATCACATAAATGCCAAACAATATGTAGACTATAGTCTCCCGCAATCATGGCCGGAATCAGTTTTGGAACTGGGATTATCTAGGTTAATCATGTTGACAGCATAGCCAATAAAACTTGGGGGGGGTCCAAATGGTAAGCTAGGAATTGGTAAGGCAAGCTTCCTTTGAGGGTTTAGGGTTTAGAGCCCTCCAACGTAAGGATTGCATGATTGAACATTACGTATAATAGTTGTATTCAGTCGTTGAAGAATTGTTTTTAATTTTATATAAGGATAGTTGTTGTGATATACGTTCACATTTCGGGAACAAGGTACATTGTTCTGTTTTTCTTTCCGGGTCATATGATATTTATTCTTAACTATTAGTGATAATATTAATAATTATGTAAGTAAAAACAGGTAATTTAAGACGAACCGGATACGTTATGGTTGAGTCCAACGTCTTGAGTTTAACCGTCATTAATTAGTTGTATCTATTTTTCGAATGAGAATTAACCATATGAACTTAATTGTGGTTTCAGATTAATGCTTTGGATTTTTTTAATTCCTAGATTAATTACTTAATTTAACCAATTTTCTAAGTAAAAACTTAATTTTAAATGAACAGTCGCCATTTTGGTTAGCATTTGATTAGTTGTTTATATAGAATTCTACACAACTAATCTATCAAATATAAAATCTTTTATAATTATCTCATTAAATAATATTTACTGCAAAGAAATGAAAGAAGGAAGGTTATAAAAATGTACAGTTAATGGTTACAAAGCAAAATACTTAAAGGACATTAATTGTTTTGGTATTTAATTCAAGTTCCCCAACAGTCTGCGTTACATGGTTTTCCATATCAATTTCTAAACCACGTAAATTTTCAAATACCCTTCGAGTACAAGCCAGCCAATGAACAACCGCCATTTGGCCTATAGGCTATATAGTGAACAAGGGCAGTGTAATATATTTAATCATGGTGTAAAGCAAATGTTAACCACGAGACGGCCTAGATAAAAAAAACATAGTAAATGCCCTCCCTTATTTCTCACCTTATTAAGGAACTCAAAGCTAACAAGACACGGCCAATACGTAAAGACTTTGGTCCTGGATTTTGGTTTGGTGAACGATGGAGTTTGATCTAAAGGATAGGGAAAACATGTCCCCTCAAGGCCAGCAGCCTATGTTTTTGTTTGACAACTGTCTAAAACCCTTTGAAGCCACGACCCCATCTTCATCCTCCAAGGATTTTTATCTGCAAGACTTTCACCACCTCCATCATGATCCTCAAATTCACGTCAACGTCTCGTCGTCTTCGAACCCTGTTCTTCTTTATGATTCTTTTGATGCATTCCCTTACGGTTGCTCCGCAAACAATGTCGATTTTTACGAGTGTAAGCCGTTTGATGCGGAGCACGGACATGAACAGGTTATGGACGACTTGGGGAGCGTGGGATTGTTGAGCCTTCTTCAACAGAGGAACTCGACCAATGATGTTATTATGGGATCGGACATGGCGGCGCCCTTTGATTTTGTAGTGGGGGGTGAGACTGCAGAAAATGGTTACTACAACAAGAATAGGGTATTGGCTAATCCAACGTATAGGAGGACTAGTAATTGGAAAGTTCGTAAGAAGTCAAATGGAGTGAAGGGACAGTGGACAATGGAAGAAGACAGGTTATATATGGATTTTTTTTTCTCCGGATAAAATGTTGTTCATGAAATCTTATGGATATTCGCATGCTTGAACAGGCTGTTGATTCAGTTGGTTGAACAGTATGGAGTGAGAAAATGGTCTCATATTGCTCACATGTTGCCTAGACGAATAGGGAAGCAATGCAGAGAGAGATGGCACAATCATCTAAGGCCACATATCAAGGTTAACTCATACCCAATAATATTAATGACCTTGTGCACGCATATACATATTGATATTGTTGATTGCAGAAGGACAAATGGAGTGAGGAGGAGGATAAGGTCTTGATACAGGCCCATATGGAAATAGGAAACAAATGGGCGGAAATTGCCAAGAGGCTCCCAGGAAGAACAGAAAACTCCATCAAAAACCACTGGAATGCAACCAAAAGAAGGCAATTTTCAAAGAGGAAATGCCGTTCCAAGTACCCTAGAGGCTCCATCTTGCAGGAATACATCAAAAGCTTAAACTTGGAGTCCAGCAGCAGCAGCACAAGATCCCAAAAAAAATCTTCCAACGCTACTGCTTTGGATTTTTGCCCCAGCAGTACTGACCGTTTGGTGCCAGAATATGAATTCAATGAATTTTCGTTTGATGAGAAACTGCTTCAAGAGAGCTGCAGCATTGACTCTCTGCTTGATCAAATACCCACTGCTGAGCAGGATATGGGGCCTGTGAAGGAGCTGGACTTGGTGGAGATTATCTCAGCCCACCCTAAAATCTAATTACACCTCACTCTACTTTCAAGTGGAGGGACGCTCAGAACTACCCGTAGCTAGAGATATGAGGGTGGAACTGGTATCATTCAGATTAAATAATATATATAAGAGCAGTTTTCGTATTCACATAACTCAAATTCGTTGGAAATTAACAATGCATATCAGCGTAAACATACCCACGAACGTTGGATGCTTACGGAAGCACACAATTCTAAGTTATTTATATTTTTATTCATATATTATTAACTTTCATGAAATAAAACATGGTGCAAATCTGTAGGAAACTCTTTCGGTCGAACAAAGTTAAATTTTACGATCAATTCTACAAATATTGTATGTATGTCATGATAGGGCAGAAGAAACCATTGAACAGAGAGAAATAGAGAGAGAGTTGTGATACTTTCTATTAATTTTATTAATAAGTTACACCCTCTAAGTGTGACATGTGATACGTCATATGATTAAAAAAATTAGGGACTCCACACATAAATGTCATTTAGGTCGGTTTATGTATAACCTTTGTGCCCTAATGATATTTTCGTTCAAAGAGAAAATAAATTGGTTCTCGGAAAAATGACAGAAAAAAGTTATAAATGAAGATTTTGATAGGATCTTAAATCATTTTTCACGACGAATTTCGGTAAAAAAACCTAATAGATCTCTCATAATTTCAAATTTAACAAATTAATCTTTATTATAAAATATTTTAAGAGCTTCTTTTTAAAAAAATAACATAAAACTTGCACATCATTTGGAACAAACCTGTTAATAAGACTTCTAATATCTTTAAAAGAGAACAGACTATATACAAGAAAGAGTTGCTATGAGTCAGTTCAAGAACTGTAAACTAAAAGAAATTTTAACCGTTCTAATCAACTACTAACAGCTTTACCAATGGTGCAGTACAATAACAACTATGCCATCAAATACTATCTGCACTCATTAAAACCACAACACAAACAATACTAAGACTATCTATCTTCACAACACTGTAGAGCGATGGTCAAATTGTTTATAAAACTAATAAATGCAGGCTTAAGCATCCAATTTCTCGTATTTTATATCCACTCCAGTTCATGCGAGGCAATTCAACCATCGTTTCTACTTTAATAATAAAACGCAGAGATCTAAAGCAAATTTATGAATATTTGTTCATTAATCTTTTAATATATTTTTTAATTAATAATATGATATATTGGGATTAACTGATGAGAAATGAAATTCTTTATACTGTTAATATATCATATATTTTCTCATGAAAAATTAACAAAATTAGCTTCATAAAAAAATATAACATTTATTTTTCTATTTATAAACTTATTATTATCACAACGGAAGGAGGAAAAATTGTCAAAAATCAAATTCGAAATTTATTTCAACAAAAACTGTCATTATATCTCATTATTATTTTATTTTATCTATAAATTTTTAAGGATTGAAAAATATATTTGACCAAGGGCAGAACTAGGATAAAATTATGAGAGGGGTAAGGTTGTTTATTTTTGAAACTAACAAAGTTCTAAAAGGTAACTAAACCGTAAAAATATAAGATTGGAGCTTAATTTCACTAACTTAAAAACTGTCATATCCTAAAAGATAATTAAACCAGAAAAGTTAGAGACAAAATTTAATTTCATTTAACTTTAAAACTGACAATGTTTTAAAAAATAATTAAACCAGAAAATTTTGATAATGATCAAGACTTAATTTTAGAATTTTCAAAATTTTCAAAGACTTAAAATACAATTAAACCTTAGGCCATATCCCCTTCCGCCCCCACATGGTTCCGCCAGTGTATTTGACCCAATAAAATATTAATAACATGAATTAATCAAGTAATACATTTAAATTTTATGCTAGTTTAAATTTTAAAATATAATACATCAACCTAGACTATCAGAAATAATCTAAACTCGATTATTAAAGGATAATAATCCATTATTAAATCAACCCAAACCCGAAACAAACAAACAGAAAAACATTCTTTAAGGCCTAAATTTATTAATTCCACCTATACTGAACCGATTCAAATTCTCCCCACCCAAATTTTTGTTTAAAAAAAAAGCAAGTGTCTCAAGGAAGAGGTTATAGATCCTAAACGTTTTAAGAAAAATCTGCTTCTTGTTTCTTTAAAAGTAAAAACACCACATCTTGGAAGTAACTATAAGAACCAGCTTATCTAAATGACAGTGACTCTTCGATTAAAGTTCATGTGTCAAAACAATCAGCCAAAAAGAACTAGAGTAATCCAAACACTAAAACAGAAACCCAAAATATGTTCTGTCTAAACTACAAACAAGTCCTTCAATCTAAGGCATTAAACTCGTATTTATAGGCAAAACCATTATGCTGCCTTTGCCTTAATGCGCTTCACCCTAGAATACAGGAAAACTCCAGCAAGAGCAATTCCGGTGCCTGCAAAAAAATCATCACAATAAGATCCATTAACAAATCATAAAGGCACGGAAAAGAAAACTCTAAATGGAAACAATTTCCGATAATATATTATCAGAATGCAAATTTACCCAGGGCATTGATTGGTGAGACAGGCGTCTTAAAGAAAATAACAGAGCTGACAATAACCACCACCCGCTTCACACAATTGCCCACAGAATGAGTAACAGGGGATACCCTTTGCAGTATCATATATGAAACCTGCATTTCATTTTTTTAGATCAAACACTAAACACCTTTGCATTGAGCATACTGCACTAAAAAATAAATGTAAGGCTGCATTTAGAAGGATTTGACATAACTAAGTTTCATTACTTTCATAAAAGAAGAATAAAAGGAAAAGACAATAAAGACATTCAGACATTCAACATAACCACTGCACTTCCTTAGATCCATCATTTTCTCAGTCTCTCTTAAACCAAATACTTCAATATGGTTCGTCAATAAATTTGATTAAACAGAAATTAAATTACTGAATCACATATTTCAATAGAGTTAGTTCAAGGTCAAGATAAATAATATGCAAAAAGTTAATCAAAGTAACATTAAGGCATAAAATTTTATATACATATATCAAACAGTGAATCTTTGTTAGAACTTTCAATAAAAATGTCCGTTTAAATAAGTTATCAAAACTTATACAAACTTTTTGAAATTTCATATATATATCACATGATATTTCAATCCATGGATTTTGTTTTCCAAATTTAACTTACTTCATTATATTCAACAAGAAACCTCCCAAACTTGACCTAATAAATCTCATGCCTTGTCCCATTTTTAGTTCATTATTCACACTTTCATCATTATGAAGTGACTTTGAATCCATGCATTTGATTCTTAAGGATCACGAAAAACCATCAACCAGAAAAATTCTCACCTGCTGATAGGCGTGGAAGGAAAGAGCAGCAAGCAGAGATCTTACAGCAACTTCTTTAACATTCAAACCCTGTTAGACAATATAAAAGTTAAGCTCATTACAAGGAAATGGAGAGAATTTTCAAAGTAAAATCAGTGCACCTATAGCAACTTTAGCTCATCAAGAATACTCACAGCAGATTGCAAGTAGGCAGGGGTAAATTTTATGCCTTCCATGAAGATAGCCACGGGGGCTAGCAAGAAAAAGGACATAATTGTTATTATTGAGAAGAGGGTAATGTTGTCCATAGAGCCCTGTCACAGAATAGCTGCTTGTTATGTGCCAATACGAAAGTCAACTCCAAAATTAGATTTTCAATACAGAGAGACCACTCTGCAGTGAATCAACCAGAGAGATAGAATTTACACTCCAATAAATGTTATCACCATAGTGACTGATAACAGAGATCAAAAAGTAAAATTACCTCTTTCTTAACCATAACTTTTTTGCTAAAAACGTTACGGGACTGATTTGTTAAATTGGAAGCCATTGCACTCCAAAATCCAGCCCTTTATACGTAAAAATAAAAAAATGTTATATTAAAATGATATAAAATAACCAATTCAAGTATTTGCTATCAAGATATCTGCACCAAAATCAGAAATGAATCGCGAGTAAAAGAACACTTTCTGAAGTTTTATAAAGATAGTACATGCTAGCATGTACAATTCTTACCAATTGAATGAGGCCTCTGTAACAGATGCAAGTACAACTCCTCCTACAATAGGTAAAAGAGAACCAACTACCCAAGGAGTTGGCAGCTGTAACAGCAAAATATCATACTCAAGTCAGAATCAACATGAAATTGCATTTTTAGTCCCAAAAAAAGAAAGAAATTGCATCAGTTTTCACACAAAAGGAGTTTCAAATAGGTTCAATAATCGCTCATGCAAAGAAAACATCACTGTGAATAACTTCAAGAGATATTACAGAAAAAAAGAGGAAACTCGAAAAGGCATTTATAGATAAACAATAATTAGGAAAATGTGAATGAAAAATAATAATAATAAAAATAACTAAACAATAAATCACCTCTCCTAAAAACATTGCAGACAGAACAACTGAGAAGAATGGCTCCATAGCTTTAATCGTGTGAGTGAAAGAAACGGCCACTTTTCCTAGACTCATATTCGTAAAGAGGTTGCCCAAGGTATGCACCACAGCAAGTGGCAGAATTACTGCTAGCTGTGAATGAACAATTCAAAAATTAGTATCAAACCAGAGAGGAATCAAGAATCCCAATAGATTCACTATTTGCTCCAAAATGTGTTGAATACCTGTGCACCAGTGATTTTCGGCCTCTTATACAAGTTAAAAGTCCACATCAGGGAAACAAATACAGTCCCAACAGCAAACTGAATGACAGTGACAGTTACAGGGTAATGGTAGACCTTAAGAACCTGTTAACAAAAAAAACAGAATTTAATAACAGTTCATTCTCTTGAATTGTACTCTAAGATTCCGTCTTGTTTATCGAATATTGTTGTTTGAAAATCACACTGTAATTCTTAAAAATGTACAAATAACCAGCATGCACCACTAGTTTCCCTCATCATTCAGATATATTAATGTAAAGTTACATCTATTTTCACCAAAACAGTTAACTCTTTTCTTCTTTTTCGTTAATTCTTCA